CCTACCCTGCAGGGCCAGAGGCGTTGCCTACACCCTGGCCTCGGCCGCAGGGTTAGGGTCCTGAGTGGGTCTCTGCACGGTTGGTGGTGTGCACCGTGCGTCTGTGCCCCCCCATACCCACACACGCGCCTGACACCCAAGAATTAGCATCTTGCATAATGCATAATCCTATAACACTACCAGGAAATGGACACGGGTGCCACCCGTGGGCGGAGCTTGGTGACCTAGGGAACACTTGGTGACCTAGGGAACACTTCAGGGATTGGGGGCCACAGTGAGTGAACAGTTTTCCCTCATGTAGACCCGCAAGACAGGGAACCCCAAGGAACCCACCTGACCTGCATGACCGTCCGCCAGATCAGGCCATTAGCCAAGGCCTGGCCTCCAGCCAGAGTGGTAGGTGTTTGGGGGCCCTCAGATAAAGCTGGTCCCTGCTTGAGCAGTGGTGGGCGGAGGGGCCATGCATCCCAGTGGCTTTCCCACAGGAGGGCACACTGGGCAAAGGCAGGCCCTACCCCAGAGGCTCGGATCTTGCAGGTCCCAGAGGACTGGCCACTCTGCAAGGGAGTGGGGACTAGGGATGCTGCTGCGGCCCCTGGCCCAGACCCCCTGCACCTCCACGTGGAGAAGCTCTGCTCGGCGGTGCGCCCTGTCTGAGTCATGAGGGCTCGGCCCATCTGGGTTTGGCCAGTCCTGTTCTGTAGGGGGGCCTGTTGTCTAACTGGAGCAGCAGGTGAGACGGAAAAGCCAGTCACCAGCCACCATTTGCGTCCAGAACAAGCAGCTCTGGGGACCCAGCATCTTGTTGCTATGGGAACAGATTGTCTCCAAAAGAACCAACTTTCTGGTGGAAAGAAGTCATTTGCCTTCCTTGCTCTTTGGCACTTCCTGCAGCTCTTAGCGCCCCACGTTGTCATCAGCGCTAGACTTTGTGGGTTTTCAGGCAGAGGATTTAGGCTGCTGGCCAGTCTTCTAATGGCCCCTGGGGTTTCAATCATGGATTGCCTATTGGTGGGTGTATGACAAATTAACCCAAATGTGGTGACTAACTCAGCCCATACTTATTAGTTGTCTCATGTGATCTCTTGGGAGTTAAGATTTGGGGATGAGCAGAACTGGGTGGTCCTGGCTCAAGGCCTGCCATGAGGTTTACATCCTGAGACCTGTGTGGATCAGGAGGAACTGCTTCTGAGCTAGCTAGGGCCTGGGGCTGTGGTGTGCTACTCCTGATCAGGAGACAGGGCAGCGGGCGGTGGCTTTTTCAATGGTTAATGTCAGACCCAACAGAGAGCACTGTGACCCTGAGCCATGCACACTTGCTCTCTGGGCTTTTGCGGGAAGAAGTTGCAGCCTAAGCCGCTACTCACACTCCTTCCAGCATTGCCTTCATGAAGCTGGGCACACTTGCCAATGCAAACTGCACTCCCTTCGGGAAACTGGAAGGCAAGGTTCCATGAAACATGGGTGTCATGTTGTGGAGCTAGCTCGAAAGTGCCCTCTGGGGCTGGAACCTCTAGTGACCCCTCTGCCTCCTACTTTGTTTGTTCTTTGAGAACCAACTGTCCTGTCCACATGTAAGCAGGTCCTGCTGCTACTCTGTCTTCACCTGGAAGCTCATCTGAAACCTGTCCCCCATGGGTGACACCACTGGTCTTTGAAATACCGGTGGCATAGTTTCCAGCATCACATCAACACACAAGCCAACACAGTATGGCACAGTGACAGACGAGTGGTGGACAGAGGAGAATGGTATGTATGGTCTGTCACTTCACAGGGGAGGTGGAGAATGAAGGCCAACAGCACAAGGCTGATTGCTCTAGGCACAGATGAGATCTGCCTCTGCCATCCAGCCTCCCTACCAAGGCTGACACCAGCTGTGCCTCCCCGTGTTCTCTCGACTTGTCTGCTGGCGTTAATGATCGCTCACTTCCAGTGCCACCCAGAATGCCCAGACAATACTCATAGTCCAAAGGACTGGAGGTTGGAGCACAAATCAGATGCAAGATCCAGACCCAGCAGAAAGTAAGCAAGCTTTGCCTGAGTGTATGGGAAGCAGACAGGACACTTTCTTTCAATTGCCTGACTGCTCAGAGCAGACCTCGTCATGGAACTGAGGGCCTTCTATTAGCTCTCCCCACCGGGATAACTACATCTAACAGCCAAGCCACTGAGAATCCTGGCCCAGTCAAACAGACACAGAACTGTAACTACTGTAGACTCTACCTCTTCCTACCAGTGTCCCTCCAACAGGTGGCAGGGGCTCTTCAGCAAGCTGCCAGACTGACCCACTTGACCTGGTCTAGACACCGCTGGGAACAGCTCCCTTGGCACCATTGGGCGAGCTGGGCTCACAATGCACATCACCCAACTCCAGTTGGTGGTGTGCAATGGCAATGTGGCAGGTCCTCCCACCTGGGGGCCGGGCACGAAGCTCTCCTGAGTGTGTCCCCCGCCCGATGCCCCAGCCCTCTGCTGACCCATCCCCTTGCTCTCTGGGGTGCTGCGGGACGGCTGCTCTGCAGACTGTACTGCCTCCGCCAACCCCTGACGTGGGGCAGGCCGGAGTGCCCTGTTTCATGTCTTCCGTGACAGTGCCGGTTCCCGGGGGTGGGGGAAGGCCGTAGACTGGGCAGGGGCTTTGAGTTTTCCATTCGCCCTTTGCAAACATCACACTGATGACGGGGAGACAGCTGCTGCTGTGGCTGATAGAGGCTTCTGCATTTCCATGGAGACGGTCCTGGGATCCTTGGTGTGCCGGGAGCCAGAGGGGCCACAGCTTTGCCACACGATAATGCCCTCTTGCTGCCTGCTTTCCCATGGACTGGATCAGGACCGGTGTCCCTCACACACCCATCCACCACCTGCTGCTCTTCAGTGGCGTCGGTCCTGGTCGGTCCTGCCCCTCTGTACGGGACCTGCCTTGTCGCTGGTGGCAGGTGGCAGGGGAGGTCTTGGCTCAGCCTGACCCCTGAGCAGACAACCCTAGGGCGTTCTGTAGGGAGGGGGAGGAAATGGCTGTGGAGAGTCTTTGGGGAACCAAGAAACCCTGGAGTCCTCAGGAACTCTCAGAAAGGAGGGTTGGAAACCTTGGAATTGTTGGGAAGGCAGGCGCAGAGGGCTGGGGTGGAAGCTGGAAGGTTTTGGAGCCCCAAGAGCTGCAAAGCCCTCAGGTGGGGGAGGAGGCTTAGAAGGTGGCAGAATTTTCATCTCAGTCACATTGATGGGGCCTGTTCCTTGCCACTCTGCTCTGGTGTCCAACCAGAGGACCCCGGAGCTCCTCCAAAACCATCATCCTCTCCTTTGAAATACCCCAAGCCACTACTCGAGGTTTGGGGGTGTCACCCTTACTGAACCCCCCACCCAGGGTCCATATGAGCTCCTGCTAGAATCGACCTCTGCCCAGTGCTGGACTCCAGCAGGTCAGGAGCAGGGAACTGGGCTAGGCTGCTCATCCATCCCTGCTGTCAGGAGACATACACCATAGCTCACCCACCCCCCGCCCCACATACACACACACAGGGCTCACCCCCACCACACCAGAGTTCACTCCCCCCACCACACACACACACACCAGCCCAGCACAAGACCCCTGCTGTGGCCCTCCGAGGAGCTAATGCCCCCCACCCCAGCTCACCTAACCCTGACACAGTCCGGGTCTCAGCTCTGGAGGCAGAGCCACTTCGCCGTCCGGTGTCCCTCAGAGGTCTGAAGCTTTCATTCGACAGGGTGCTGGGCTCTGAGGGAGGAGCCAGCAGGAGTGGGCTGAGTCAAGACAGGCTGAAGCTGCATGACTAGGGTGCAGCTGAGAGAAATGATCAGGAGCCGGCAGGAGTCCCAGTCCCCGTTCTGCCTTGAACTTGCCCTGTGGCTAGACAGGTGTAGACAAGCTGGGAGCCCGGATGGCACAGAGCCCGTGGCTCTACCTAGTGAGAGTCCCACCGCCTCAGAGGACGGCCGCCCCCGTGGGCCTTTTTCTGCTGTCCATACTGCCCAGTGCCGACATCTGGGCCATCGTGTGCTTGTCTCACCTGGATTTAAAATGCCGGCAACTAGTGTGCCCAGTGGAGTCCTGGTGTGGCGCTGCAGGAGAATGCATTGGACGGTAAGGTCAGTTTGAACTACAAGGTCGGCAGTTCCAACCCACCAGCCGTTCCTCGGAAAGTCAGAACTAGCTCAAAGGCCCTTACCAACAGTGTGCCCACAGGAGTCCTGATGTGGCACTGTAGGATCCGCATTGGACTACCAACTACAAGGTGGGCCGTTCAAACCCACCGACCACTCCTTGGGAACCCGATACAAGGTCACTATGAGTGAGAATTCACTATTTAGCACTTAACAGTCTGTCCAACGTTATGGGACAAAATCTTTCGGTTCCTGTAAAGATTTGTAAAGCCTCAGAAACCTGACACAGGGATGCTGTGGGGTGAGTCAGAACTGACTGGATGGCACATAACAGCAAGTGTGCCCAGCTCGACGTGGGCAGAAGGTACACCTTGGGTGGGAGGGGCCAAGTGTGGGGAATGGAGGAAACACACCACAAAACACAATCCAACCCAATGAAACATTTGAGCCTACCCCAAAACCAAGTCGGAACCCTACACCACATAGCAAGCTTTCACAACAAGCCTCAGAGGCCAGGCCAGCCCCCCTCGCCCCAAGCAGAAAGAGCCAACGCAGTAAAAATAAACGGTCTTTTATTGTGTGTCCACAAAAAACAAGTCCGGGTGCCTTTGGTTAATCCCCTGCCCCTAAGGTGACGCTGGAAGGAGACATGCATGGAAGGAACAGGGTGGTGCCCGCCCAAAGCCCTGAGAACAGAAAGAGGTGAGGCTCTGGGAAAGCCTGCTGCCCCCCTAGCAGGAAGGGGCAGGGGTCAAAGCACTGAGCTGGGCTGAGGCCCAGGAAGAACACACAGAGGGAAGCCCCCACCCCCCACCCCCAGCAAACAGTAAGGCATCAAGCCAGGTCTTCAGAAAAGAGCAGGCTCAGAGACCAAGCCTTCAGGGATCCATCAAGAAGGGGCTGCCCTCCTCGGCCTGCAAAGAGTAGTACACGAAGACCAGGAAGGCGGCAAAGACCAGGAACAAGAGCAGCTGGCCCCAGAACGGGACCTGGCGATCGTGAGCCAGAGCAGTGCTTGGGGCCTGCTTTTCAGGCCGGATGGCCCGGCGGGCGAGCCAGGAAGGTGGAGAGTAGGAAGAGGAGGAGGTGGAAGAGGTGGAGGATGTGGTGGGGTAATAGGGCAGGTCCAGGCTGCCCCTGGAGATGCTGGAGACGGGCCGGTAGTGCGCGATGTTCTGGTAGGCACTGTCCTGGGTATATGAGGGGCAATCCCTGAGGCATAAGAGGGAGCACAGGGGTAGGCCAGGAGCACCGGGTCCAGAACCAGGCCCCAGCCCTGGCCCTCCCCGCGGGGCACTCGGGCCACCACTTACCTCTCCTTGTCCTCCTCCTCAGAAGAAGTAAAAAGGCTGTCTTCCCGCACCTACAGGAGACGGGTGTGGGGGCACGATGGGAAAGGTAGGCAGGGCCTAGCACCCCTGCGTCCAAACTTCCCAGCCAGCCCAGGACTCTCAGCACACCAGCCTAGGGCTCAGCCTGGGGTCCCCAGAGCAGAGCAATCCAAACCCCGGACACGCTCACCTGTCGGTGGAAGGTGTCAGCATCTGAGAGCGAGGCTCCACTCTGCCGAAAGTCCCGGCCTGAGTCCATCGACTCGGGCTGCCCATAAGTCCTGGTACTCAAGTAGCTCTCTTCGTAGTAGTCGCCGTCATAGCCTTGGGGAGAGGGGTGCAGCGGTGGCACGGCTGACCTCCTCCCCCTAACCTAAAGCCCAGCTGGAGTCTAGGACCAGCGCTTTCCCCCGCTGGGGCTGGGAGACCAGGGCCCTCCTGCTGGCCTTACCCTTGCTTTGGTAAAGTAAGGCATCCTCTTTCTTGGGCAGATCGTACTTATCCGAGTCTGCAGATACTGAATCAAAATCTGCGCGGGGACAAGGAACCATTAGTCTTCACGCCTCCCCTCCCTTCCGCCAGGTGCCTCCCCCGTCGGTGTGCCTTCCACACCCTCCCGAGCCCAGGCGCCCGGGTCCCCAGGGGTGGCCCGGACGGCGAGGGACTCACCCGACGAAAACCGATAGGGAGATGAGTTCCGGGGCGCGAGTCTCCGCCTCTGGGTCTCGTACTCAATGATCTTCTTCTCGTAGAGCTTGCGCGTGGATCCTGGCAGGACACAGGGCGTGGGGAGGGTCAGGGCCGCGGGCAGCAGGTGAGCGGACTCCCTCCCTCCGCGCGCCGGAGCCCCTGCCCACCACCCTCCTGATGCCCCGCGTACCCACGACGGGCCCGTGCGGGATGTTATACTGGCGCAGCACGGCCACCAGCTCCGCGTCCGACAGACCCGTGTAGTCGTCCATAGCGCGGCCGGCACGGGACCCGCGCGGTGGCGGCCTGGCGCAGCCGAGCAATAGCTGCCTCCGAGCGCAGTAGCGGAAGGGGCAGCGAAAACGTCAAAGTAACAGCCGCGCGAGCACGTCACGGGCTCGGCACCGCGAGCGCCGAGACTGCGCGCGCGGCGGGAAAAGAGGCCGCCAGGAGCGAAGCCGGCGCAGACCGGTCTGGACGTGGGAGCGAGATGGCGTGGGGCGGGGCTACTGAGCTGAGTCGTCACAGAGGGGTGTGAAGGAGGCAGAGGCAGGAAAGGGGCGGGGCCTACATGCCAGTCGAAGCCACAGAACCAGGAGGGGCCTGGGAGAGAGGCGGGCTGAGCTGGTAAACGAATATGTCAAAAATGGGCGGGGCCTGCAATGCCAGTCAGAGCCCCAGAACTGGGAGGGCGGGTCTAGTGAGCAATGCCGCTACAAAGGAAGGGTTTAGGACTAGAGTTGGAAGAGGGGTGGGGCCTGTAAGTCTATGGAGGCTGCGCAGACCTGGCTGGAAGTGGGAACGCGGAAGAGATGCCTGCCCGGGAATGGGCGGGGCTGACGAGCGGAGGCGTCACACGCTGGTGTGTGCCGTCCCTACGTAAGAGAAGGGCGGAGCCTGTGCACAAACCGAACCGGTGGAAACCGGCCAGGGCCTGGGAGCTGAGCGGGCTGAGCGCCCAGGGAAAGGCGCGGAGTTGGCTACCAACTACGTCAGGCGCAGCCTGTTTCTGACTGGATGTAGAGGGGCGGGCCCTGCGCGCGAGCAGCGAGCAGAACTGGTGGAAACCGGCCGGGACTAGGGATCGGGTCTGGGTTAGCGCACCAGGGAAGAAGCGTGCCACCCTGGAGTCACGCGGGGACGAGGTGCCCAAGTCCCCGCCTGGGTCCCAGCACTCTTCCCAGGCTTGGTCAGCTCCTGCTCTGGGTCAGGCTCTCGACCAAACCCTCTGCGTGGAGAACGCAAGGAAACAGCGGCCGCGTGGGGGCCCAGCCCGCAAGCCCGTAACCTCCTAGGCTCATATCCCCGGCTGGCCAGCGGGCGAGTCTGCAGGCTCCTCGCCTAAGCAACTGTGCCGTCCGCTACATCCCCCCCGTCCCTCCCTCCCGCCTCCCTGGAGAGGAAGTGGGGCACTGGGGCAGGAGTTCCTAGCCAGCCCTCCAAGGGGCCAGGCGTGCCAAGGGGCACTGGCAGAAGACAGCCCGCCTGGGGGACCGCACAGGGTGAAGGGGGAGACTGCCTCTCCTCCAGAACCAGAGGGGCCTGCTTTGTGAGCATCAGGCTGTGAGGGGCTTTGGACCCAGAGGCACTGCAGGGGTGGCCAAGGAGAGGGAAGAGGGGACTAACGAATTTAGTGGGAATTGAGGAGCCTAATCCTGGACTGCCGACTGCCCATGTGTGGTTAGATGAGGGGGAGCCCTTGGTGGAAAAAGTGCTATCTCGGGGAGAGCAGGAAACAGCCAGCCTCATGGAGGTTATCCCTGGGCTCTGTGAGGGGGTCACAGTTTCATTGTGGGGGAAAACCCGAGGGGGCTTTGGTCAGCTGGTGCAGTCGCCGACCACGTTCAGGAAGGTTTGCTAGGCTGGGGAGAGACCCCAGTCTGGGCAATGACAGAGCCTTCTGAAGAATTGCTGTTCCCAGGTTTTAGAGGAGACGCCCAGGCCTGCTCTGTCACCAGCCCTGGCATAAGATGTTGTTGTGAAGTGCCGTCGAGTCGGTTCCGACCCATAGAGACCCTGTATAGGGTTCCGAGGAGCAGCTGGTGAGCTTGAACCACCGACCTTGCAGTTCAAACGGCTTTAGCGCCACACCAGGACTCCCCTGGTATAAGTAGGGGTCGCTAAAGACACTGCGTTGCCCTCCAAAGAGGGCAAGTCCTGGGCTGGGCAAGGAGACAGGGTTGTCTGAGCTGTGGATTGGCTCAGATCAAGTCCCAGCCCCTCTCAGGGCGGCTTGTCTGCAGTGCTGGCCCCTCTCCCGGAGGGAGGCTTGTGTGTACCGCTCCCCCCCTCCCCCTACTGATGCAAGCTGTTTCCTTATGAGGTCAAGGAATTTTAGGTTTGCCTTCTCCTCAGGGAACAACCCCCACCCCACCCCCGCACCTGCCTTGGCACTCTGCCCTGTACGGCTCCCCTTTTCGCCCAATTCCAACTTCCACCACAGAGAATACACCAGGAAGCTGAACTGTCACCCTTCTCCCACCCAGTGGGCACTTGGGACCTAAGTCCAGTCCCATGGCCATGCAGCTCCATCCCAGACCACCAGATGCTAGACCAGCTGGTGACCATCTGAGCTGAGACGTTCTTTGCACCCTTGTCACATAGAGGAGGGGCCAAGGTCCCAAGTTCCGTGGTTCATTCGTGAAACATTCCCTCAGCAAGCACCTAGGAAGGGGTATTCTGGGGGCCTCCAATGGCTGTTCCAGGGAAGGGTGGGTTGGAGCTTTGAATCAGAGGACACATTGATCTGGTGGACAACTGGGAATTAGACTGTAGGCAGAACAGCCAGTGTGACAGGGGTAAGGAGCTATCGAAGCAGCCCGTTCTACGGCAGGAATGAGAAAACAGAGACTTGACTTAGAGCACGGCCCCATGTACAACAGAAGGAAAGACTGTGTGGTCCTGGGCCAGTCCATCTTGTTGGGAGTCTTCCTCTTTTTTATTGACCCTCTACTTTACCGAGTATGATATCTTTCTCGGGGGACTGGTCCCTCCTGATGACATGTCCTGTCTGAAGTACACCATCCTCACTTCCAAGTGTTCTGACCGTACTTTTTCCAACATAGGAGCGCTTTTTCTGGCAGTCATGGTATATTCACCATAATACAAAGATGTCAGTTCTTTGGTCTTCTTTATTCATTGTTCCACTCTCACATGAAAATATCATGGTTTGATTCAGGCACACCTTAATCCTCAAACTGACATCTTTGCTTTCTAACACTTTCAAGACGTTGTCATGGGTTGAATTGTGTTCCCCCGTTATGTGTCAACCTGGCTGGACCATGATTATCAGTGGCTTGGCATGTATGTAACCAAGTAATTTGGCAGTTGTGTGATGATGTAATCACTACTCCCATGCCCTTGATGTGACTTGATGCGATCAGCCATCAGTTGTAAAAAGATTAGGGTGGGATGTAACAACCTTGATCCCATCACATGCTGGATCTGATGTAAGGGGTATAGCATGCATCACCTTTTTTTCTTAAAAAAAAAAAGAAACAGTAGTGAACAGAGAGAGGACCTCGGTGTCGCCAAGAAGGAAGAAGAGCTGGGAGCTGAGCACATCTTTTGGCCCCAGGGTCACATAGATGTGAATCTCCTAGACCCAGGGGAAGATTGAGGCCAAGACAAATGAACATCTACAAAGAACATGAGGCCACAGATGTTGAAAAGCAGCAAGGACCTGCCTCCAGGACTAAGAGAGAAAGCCTCCCTCTAGAGCTGGTGCCGCAAGTTTGGATGTCTAGCCTCCTCAACTGAGAGAGAATACATTTCTGCTTATTAAAGCCATCCACTCGTGATATTTGTTATAGCAGCAAGAGAGAACTAACTATTCTCCAGTGATTTCTTGATGGCTGCTTCCATGGGCATTCATTGTGGATTCAATAAAATAAAGTCATTGACAACTTCAATCTTTTCTCCTTTTAACAGGATGTTGTTTATTAGTCCAGTTATGAGGATTTTTGTTTTCTTTATGTTGAGGTGTGATCCATACTGAAGGCTATATACAGTCTTTGATCTTCATCAAATTAAGTGTTTCAAGTCCTCTTCACTTTCAGCAAGCAAGGTTGTATTATCTGCATATAGTAGGTTGTTTATGAACCTTCCTCTAATCCTGATACCAAGTTCTTATTTATACAGTCCAGCTTCTTGGATTATTTGTTTAGCATGCAGATTGAATAGCATGGTGAGAGGATACAATCCTAATGCGCACCCCCTTTATTCTCTTTGAACAAATGCCTCGTGGTCTGTGCACAGGTTTGGCATGAGCAACTGGAATTCCCATTTGTCCCAATGTTATCCATAATTTGAATGCCTCTTCACAGTCAGTAAAACATAGGTAAACCTCTTTCTGGTATTCTCTGCTTTCAGCCAAGATCCATCGGACATCAGCAATGATAGCTCTTATTTCATGTCCTTTTCTGAATCCAGCTGGGATTTCTGACAGTTGCTGGACTGCTGTAACAGTTTTCACTTTATCTTCAGGCAAATTTTACTTGCATGTGATTTTACAGATACTGTTCAGTGATTTCTGCATTTTGTTGGATCACCTTTGGTTAGAACGGGCACAAATAGAGATCTCTTCTAGTCAGCTGTCTTCCAAATCTCTTGGCATAGACAATGTTGCATATGTTTGTTGAAACATTTCAGTTGGCATTCCATCCTTTCCTGAGGCTTTGTTGTTCACCAGTGCCCTCAGTGCAGCTGAACCCATAGGCAGAGGGTTTACAACACATATTTTTGGAAGACATAATTCGATTTGTAGCAGATGACTTCTAAGTGGAAGATTGTACAACTCCCAACAAGATCAAAACTTAAAAGGGAAAAAAATATATCACCATAAATACATTTCTCAGCATCTATATACACAAGAAAGGAGCTCTGGTAGCGTAGTGGTTACGAATCAGGCTGCGAACTTCAAGGTCAGCAGTTCGAAACTACCAGCTGTTCTGTGGGAGAAAGATGAGGCTTTCTGCTCCTGTAAAGATTTACAGCCTCGGAAACCATACTGTACAGGGTCGCTATGAGTCAGAACCGACTCCATGGCACATAAACACCACCACCACCATATGTACAAGAAGACCATTGTTCACTGAGCTACTAATGTTCTCGTTAAAATGAAGATTTTGCATAAACAATGTTTTTACTATGAATTAAATGTAGGTTTTCAGAGCAGGTCATCCATTTTACATCCAACAAATCATACGTTTGATTTCATCTCAATGATTGCAATGCCTTCAATGTAACATCACTTATCCCACTTCCGATAAGG